CCCTGCAGAAGGACTCTTCCTGCTAGGCTGTGGTCTTGGCAGTCTCCTGTCATCTGTCCTTGTTATCAGGCAGACTGCATGTGGCTGCCCCTGCTAGTCTACAGACTTAATGTTTCTACGGTTGATACAGGGAACTCCATTTCACATACTTTGAGATGAATTCTTGTTTGTGGTTTCAAAATAATTTTTGTAATCTTCCTCATTTTTATTTTTTAAAGGGCTCCTCCTTAGATACCTAGATAGAGCATGCTTAGCATGTGTAAGGCCTGGGTTCAATCTCCAGCACTACCGGGAATAAACAGAAAATGAGGAAAGAGGGGAGGGAAGAAGGGAGGAAGAGAAGGGTAAGTATCCCTTGATTCTGCCTCAACCTCAGCCTCATACAAGAGCTGCTGTGGCCTGTCACTACACTCACATCACAGATTTTGCAGGTCCATGGATATTCCCTGTTAAATCCATTTTGAGTGTTTGTTATTTGTTATCTAGGCTAACTCACATAAAAGGTTTAGTACAGAGATTGCTATATAACATGTGGTTGCGTTTCTGTAAGTACCCAATGCTCATTCATTCACACATGCTTGCTTTTACCATGTTACCAGTGTCTCAGGGTCAGATACCAGAGACACAGGGATGAACAGCCCCTGTCTCTGCCCATAAAAACCTGTCTGTGCTAAGATTACTGTGCCCTGGAATAAATGTGCCCCCAACAGACTCTGTTATGATTGGAGCACAGATAAAGGGCACAGTGGTTGCAGTAGAATGAGAGTGAAAAGAAATCCCCTTGTCCCTGGGAAGCATGTCAAGATCAGCTGTAGACTCAAGTCAGGCCCTGTAGCCTTTGTCCTGAAGGCCACAAGGGGCCACTGAAAACCCTTAGGTGTAGCAGGGTCCTGTGCTGTTGTTCCCTTTGGGGAAGGGAGCCAAGTAGCTGCGGAGTCAATGACACAGACTCTGGGAGAATGTCAAAGCAGCAAGCTCGTACCCGTCATTGACTACCAGCCCTTGAAGAACATCAATCCTGGAGAGCTAGTGTGTGGTGGGCTTTAGGCAGTAGCCTTCTGTATCTCAGTGAGCCATATGCACATTACCTTTCTAGGAGGACTTTGATCTAGGTGTCTGAGAGCCAATAAAATCTGTAGGGTTACCTTTGTGGCAACCCTCTGTTGGTGAACCTGTTGCAGAAGACATTTCAACAGGAGAAAAATTAGTAAAAAATTCAGTCTCAAGGACATGGGTGGGACCCTAGTCATATTTCTGGTGATGCATTAGTGACCTTGTAGGGGTTGAGGCAATTGCTTGATATCATGTCATCATGCCAGTGATGACATGACCTTTATTAATGCTGCAGTAGTGGAGCAAATCATACATTACCCCTCTGAAGCTTCTTCTTTGGCCAATGTCTCTTGGTCTGTTGCTGGGTGCTCATCTCTGAAGGGTATCTGTATTGGTGTGGTGGTATTCTGGGGGTAAAATGCAAGCATACCCTCACCCTTGGGTTTATAAGGGAGCAGGGGGTTCCCATTGAAGGGTGATGGGATCCCTCCAATGCAGCAAAGACAATGGTGTCTCTTGAGGCAGGTAAATAAGTGTGTTGTCCAATTTGGGCTTATGTGACAGGGTTAACATATGATCCTTGGCCTGTGAGCATCTGAAGAGAAACAGCAATGTTGTACTGTATATTAAAACAAGCCTGAGTCTTGGCCTGGTCATCATAGGCAGCACACCAGTTAGGAAGACCACAGGCTCTAACACAGCCTTCATCAAATGGTACCAGTCATAATAAGTCTGTAATGCATTGCCCATTGCCGTAGGACTTGCTCAAAATATGGCAAGTCAGGATTCAATTCATTAGCAGCTTTATGAACCAAAGACAGGTCTATAAGACTTAGGTGGTGGAGACACCAGGTTCTGTCCACATTGGGAAGCTGACTCTGGCACCAGTGAAAGAAGGTAGGAAGTTGGGGCTCCACATAAGAGATAAAGAGGCTCCATCAAAAATGTTAGGGTCCTGATGAGGCTGGACAGCCATGGTCTACTATAGCACTTCAGTGAGAGGGCTGAGTTGATGGAAGGTCATGATTGGAATTCAGGATGTTAGGACTCTCTGAAGCAGAATTAATCTATTTCTTAAAAATGGTCTCAAGACAGGTTGTTATAATTATTATTTTAAAATGACACATCAGACCGGGCACATGGGAGGCAAAAGCAGGTGAGTCTCTATAAGTTAGAAGTCAGTCTGGACTATGTACATAGCAAGTTTCAGGCCACCCAAGGCTACACCTTCTCTCTCTCCTCCTCTCTCTCTCTCTCTCTCTCTCTCTCTCTCTCTCTCTCTCTCTCTCTCTCTCTCTCTCTCTCAGTTAATCAATCAATCAATCTAAAAAGGACAACTTGGCCAAGGCTACCTAGAATATTACTGGTCTGATTTGCCTTCTCTTGAGCCAAATGTGTTATTTAAATACTCTGAGTTTTAGGATTGTACTGTCAGTCAACTTTCAATCATGGGTGGGGGGAGGGGAGGCTCCACCCCTTCTTGAGGAGCCACTGCCAGTTAATGGCTACTGGGGGAGGGGAAGTCATTTTCTTCAATGCTGTAGCCACTGATTAGTTGCCCATGCTCCATTAAATAACCTACTATTTATGCACACGTAAGCAACCCTAATTAAACCCATGCTCACACTGAGAAATTAGGCACAAAAAGGGAGGAAGACTTGATGGGAAGAAAAAAAGGGTTCAGTGGGACTGGGGGCAATGAGAGGGCAATGGGGGTGAACAAGATCAAAATCCATTCTATACCTGTGTAAAGTGTCAATAAATAGATAAAAATATGTGTGCTGTATTTCAGAGAGATGTATGGTATCTTATCACCGTAGTGCCACCCCAGTGAGTTTGCGGAAATCAACGGGGTTACTCCATCTATTTGAGGACAAATGGCAAGGTTCCTGCTTTGTTTATGCCACACAGTGCCAGGTGGAGCTGAAAGTGAATGTTACTCACAGGCTTCCTAATCGAGTTCTTGACATCCATGGTAACCACATCTTGTCCCATCAATCACATTACATGTTTTCTTCTGTGCTGTCATAGCAGGGAATCCTCTCAGGCCAGATTCCTTTCTTTGGGGCATTCAGATGCCATTTGAACAGTATGTTTACTGCCCTGGGTAGAGAAGTTTTCAAACTTCCAGAAAGTTTTCCAGGAATCCTGTCATTCATAAAATGCTCTTTCTCCTGTCATTTGCCCTTCAGTAACTAAGTTCTGTTCTACAAAGGGGCTCAGTCTGTCAATTATATCTACTACAGCAACTCTGGTCTATCCTCATGTAGCTCAATTTTTTTTTCATGTAACCAGGCTGGCCTCAAATTATCTGTGTAGCCAAAGCTGGCCTTGAACTCTGTATCATCCGGCCTCTTGGATGCTGGGATTCCAGGCATGCCCCATGACCCATTCTACAGACCTGGCTTTGAATCTGAGACAGCATCACAGCAGCTCATGGTGAGCAGAAGCTGGAAGGGCAGTTCTTCTCTTCTTGATCCATGTCATTCCTATTTCTTGTTTCTGTTATTTGGAAGAGTTTATCCCAGAGGAATTTGCTTTGAGAAGGATTTTGGTAGGCCCAGAGCAATCTGATTTCCTGGATTATAAACAAGAATTTGTTTGGCTGGGATATTTCCATTTTCCCAAGGCTTCCAACTCTTGTCAGAGGTATGCTCACAGGCCACCCTGTGAGTTCTCAAGAGTGGCTGGAACTGTCCCAACCCCACGGAAGCTTCTGGAACCATAGAGTCAGAAGTAGATTTGAGTGAAAGGAAAATGTGCTGTGGGAATTATTCTACTGGGGGTGGGTATCAGTAAGTTCAAGCCATGAAGCACCTTGCTGTGGAACAGTATAAGCAGTGTGCATTTTATTGGGAGAGGTAATATATAAGACGTGCTAAGGAATCGCTATGGTGCATGTTCAGTTTACAGAAGGCATATGGGTAGGAATTTGGGAAGAGCAGAGAGAAAAGAATTTTTGGAGAAACAGAAGTAAAGTGAGAGCTAGGGTGGTAATGGTATAGTCTCTCAGTGCTGTGGGGATGAGGATTTCAGTGGCTACTGAGCTGTGCTGTGCTGGGGTGGAGGCAGGCCCTTGGCGGACATTGTCCTATTGAATCTTCTGGAGAGTCCCTCCGTCTTATTTCTCAGACAGAGTCTTGTAACAATCAAATGATTCCTCAATGCTGTGAAGTTGGCAAGCTGTGGGGCTTGGGTTCAAACCGCAGTCTGTCCAGCTTCAGAGCCCTGGGGCTCTTCGCTTCACACCAAGGCAGCTGGCTCAGGAACGTCTCTGTGTGACGCTCACACTGGCTCTCCTCCAAGTTGGACACAGTCTCTTTCAACACTGAGATTCCAGGTCACAGCTCACAGCATATGGAGACAAATGCTTGACACCTTTTTCTTCAAAGATCTGCTTCTGAAATGTATCCCTGTGGTCTGGAGGGGACCTCCTCCTCTGACATTGTCAGTCATCTTGAGGAAAGATGATTGATTTAGGGGTGGCAAGGTCTAAGCTCTGGGTTGACAGGGAAGCCAAGCCCCTCAACTTTGCTGGTGGGGTCCAGGAGTATTTGGGGGAGATGAGTGAGCTGATGGGTCGGTCAGTGGTGGGTTTTATGGTGCTGTTGGGAGCTTTATACTTTGACATGAGTGTTTCCTGTAGCCTCATAAAACAAGCTAGAAGGCATTACATCATCCCCCCTGCTTTCCTAACAGAGACCAAACCTTTTTCCATGCTTGGAATGTTTCCTGATGGTCCACTCTGGCCAGTCCACTTTTCCAATTTACAAAGCTCTGTAATAGTTGTGGAGGAAAGGCGAGGTGGGGGGAACCCTTCAGCTCAGGTTGTTTCCTTACCGTTCCCGGGAAAGACAAATGACTCACATTAGAGCAGAGGATCCCAAACTCTCAGAAACAGGCCCGTTGAGCTTGGGCAGCAAATGAATAAGGCAGTTATGCATCTCTTGGGTGGCTGGCAAGTTTGTCGTCATGGCAACTCTTCCACTGAGGGAGGTCTGCTTGCACAAGTTGTCAGCCTCTGTCCCAACCCCAAGCTACCTGAGGAGGAGGGGCCAGGCCAGTCCATGCCTTATTTATAACTCGCTCTGAGTGAGGGGGAGGGATCACCGGTTGACTCCCTGGGAGGCTGCCTGCCAGTTTCATCCACAAATGTCGGAGCAGCAGCCAACAGCTGCCTGCATCATCCTCTCCTTCCTGGGTCTGCTTGGGCTGGTTGGTGCGGTCACTAGAACATACTACATTGGAATTGTGGAAGAATACTGGAACTATGTGCCTCAGGGGAAGGACGTTATTACTGGGAAGAGCTTCTCAGAAGACAAGTGAGTGAACATGGGGTCCTCACGGACTCCCTGGGCTGACCTCTTTTTAGCTCTGTGCCTGGGAGGTTGTGTTCCTTAGATGGCTATGATGCAGGTGAACTGACTGAGGTGGAGAGGCAGGTTCCGCTTCTGCCTGAGGAGCCCTGACTGAGGTGGATCAGTAACTTGTGAGAGAAATTCTCCTCTGTGTATATCCATTGAGCCTTCTGCTACCCTTAACTGTGACGAGACATCCACAGCCAGGTGTTTTGAATAGTGGCTTTTCTTTGGCAGCTTCTAGACTCTAAAGGATTCTGGGACTCTATTAAAAAGAAAAGCAAAGGCAAACTTGTGAAATTTGAGAATTTCCCAGAATTAAGTGTCAAAGCTGTTGTCTTAGTTCTGTTTGTGGAACGCGGCATATTAGCCATACTGTACATGGCCATGCTTTTCTTTTGTGGTGTAAGATGTAAAATGGGGTGGTTAAAATAGAAGTGGTTGTATGTGAAGTGTCCTTGAGTCTACTTAGGAATGGGTCTTCCTCTGCTTGAACAGCCTTGATCCCTTCATCCCACAGGGCTGGGGCTCACGACACAGTTGGAGAAGATGGTTCTGGAGTGTCTCTGGCTTTTAATTTTAGTGGAGAGCATCCCTCCACTCCAGGGCCCAGCATCTCAGGTGTCTTTCTTGTTCCATGGTCTCCCTCTGAAGTCACCCACTGGCTCTGGAAGCTATGATGGTATGCTTTCAACTTCATGGTTCTCAGAGCACTTTGGATCTAGCAACTGTTAGGTAACTGAATCCATATTCCTTTCTTGAGGGACAGAAGCCACTGTATCCAACACCCACACTCTATTTCCTACAGATGAGCGTCTTTGCTCAAGTTCAGGAATGGCATGGGGTCCACCAGTAACTCTTCTAGAGCCAGCTCTCTCTGCCTAGAGGGAAGACTTAAGCTCCAGTTTGCTTTGTTTTCAACTTCCTGCCTCCTAACAGCACAATTGTGCCAGTCATGCCCTGTTTCTAAAAAAAATAAAGAGGGTCCTGCCAATTGGTGGCTACAGATTTTTCCTTGAGCTTTATATTGAACAGCTTTTTGTAGGGTTATTTCCAAAGAAAGTACTTGATATATTCTAAGACCATGGTCACAGTCTTTAACACATGAACAAGACATTACAAAGTACCCTAACTGCAAGAGTCATCTCTGAAATTAGAGCTTTGCCGACAGAGAAAGAGGTCACTGGAAAATGGCTAGTGTGAACAGATATAGGACATTAGAATGTTCAGAATATGTACATGGGACATGGATAATATAGCTGTGATCATTTTTTTTTGACCCAGGACTTGTATTAGGGACTTTTAATACACTTGTGCCCACAGATGTTATTATTCCCATTTTCCCAACCAGGATGGAGGCTCTGAGGTTGAATATTTGTAGTTTACCAGGCAAATGGCCTCATCAAACACCTGGCTTGGGTCCCAGGGTCCATGTGTCCTCTTTCCATGCAACCTATTTCTTGGAAAAGTTGACCATTTCTTACTGAGCTAAATCCAGCTTTGAAGGAAGGGAGAGATCTCAGTGGTGTGAACTTTCTAGGAAAGTCTTAATTCTGACTGTGGGTGTATTTACTCTCAACTTCCTTCTTCTCAGAGAAAAGTTGAAAATGGTCCTGAGTTGGTCAATGGCCACACTGACTTCCTGAATTTGTTTAAAACTTCCAGATAACTTAAATACTGAAGACTCAAATGCTATTTACACAAAGCCAGATACAAGATCTCCTTTGAAGAAAGGGCAATACCATGGATGAGAATTCATAGGTGAAAAAGAAACTAGACACGTGGAAGCCGTTTCTGTGGACCAGATTTGAGTGAGGCATCCTTACACCAGCTTTGGCTCCATGTAACTGGGTGCCGGCTTTGGAAGCAGCTGGCACAGGTGATGTCACATTGATGATAGATGGATTCCAAGGCTTCCCTTTTCTCAGGGGGACGTCTCTTGCAAGGAGAGTGCAGGTTAGCCCACAGTGCTTACTGGAAAGTTGCAGACTGTGGCGGGTCGCCCAGCCAGAGCCCCTCAGGAAGTGTCTTTGTAGTTGGCAGACGTGATTGTAGGCTCCAGTACATACCCAGCTGCGCTGGAAGAGGCCACGATGGTGGGACATAGATGAGCCCCCATGTATACTCCGGAATCACTCAAGCACCAGGATAACACAGGAGAAGGCCCGGATATACTGAATAACCTTTCTTCCAAAGAACCTTGTCCGTGGCAAGATCCCACAGGAGACAGAGCAAAAGGCAGGTCATTTGGATCTTTAAAGCAAAAATAAGTCACTTTATTGGGACGGACAGACTACATCCTGGCAGGCCATTGTTTTGGGCACTCAGACAAATATTCAGTATTCAGAAGACCCAGGGGTCCAAGCACCCAATGTTCCGCCAGAGTGGAGCAATCTTGAAAAATAATCTAGACTTCCAGTTCTTGCTGCCTCAACTTGCCATGTGGTGCTGAGCATGCTGCACTGTCTATTGTGTTCTAAATGTGGCCAAGGAGGGAGATTACATCATCCCTAACATCGTGTCAGCATCAGATTTTATTTTCGAAACTAAGTGAAAAAATTCCTACCTGGTTTTCTAGTTCTAGAGAGGTTCCCACAGAGATGAGTGAAACAGAGGTGTGATTTTCAAATGTCCAGTCTTGAAATCGAAGACACAGAAGACGAGGAAGGGGAGTGTGCTTGTGTGATTGTTTTTGGAGTGTTCTGTATTTTACTTTATCAATTCCCCCAGCATTAAAAAAGAGATTAAAAGCAATGTGTGTCTGTGTGTGGGTGTGTGCATTGGATTCCCTGGAGCTGGAGTTACAGGCAGGTGTGAGCTGACCACATGGGTACTGGGAACTGAACTCAGGTCCTCTGCAAGAGCAGTATATACTCAACTGCTGAGCCATTTCTCAGGGGCCCCCTTCATCTTTTGATACCACTAACTCCTCATTTTATGTTTATAACGTTCTCTCCTACAAATCCAGGTGAATCTAGGCTGTTTCCCTTTTAACCCGACCGGGGTCCCCCTCATACACATAGATGGGCTCTTTTCCTTCCCTTTGAATACAAATACTCTGTTCTTGTCTAAGGCACACACTTACCTTTCAGGCCAGAGTCAGAGCTCCAGGAGGACAGAGGGGAGAGGCCCAACATATTAACCCTCTTTCACTACACAGAGCCTTGTCATCAGCCAATTGCATGTGGAGCAGACCAGAAGCCAGAGGCTCTGAGCCTCTGAAGCCAAAGGAAGTCACTTTATCTATGTGCCTGTTCTGGCTGCTTTCCCTTTGGATAAGAGAAATAGAAAATAATAATAATAGGAAAAATAATAGGAATAATAGGAGAAAAGAGAGTGAGCGTCAAAGTTTCAGCAATGCAGACTTTCAGAACCCAAAACTCAACAGAGTGGAGACCCTTGGGGTCCTACAGAAGAAGAGATGGGAAATAAGTGGAGATTCTAACAGCTGGACAGTGCAATTTAACTTCCCAGTGTGATGCCTTTGCTTGGTCACAGTGTCCAAAAATATACCTGGTAGTGTCAAGCAGTAACGTTTCCTAGAAAGTATAGAATTTCAGAAGTGTGTTCTATTTAGAACCATTTTCTCTGTGTGCTCCTCTCCCTCTTCACTGGGTGGGATGGGGACACCAGGCTCCTTTGATTTGCCTGGGATCTGTGTCAGCATTTTGATCCATTCATGCCAGGCCTGCTGGGGCTCATAAAGAACTTAATAAGGCGTGAGTGTGCTTCGGTGGTAAACCCTGCTCTTTAATGGAGCTGAGTGGGTCATCTTAGTTAAAGCCAGGGTTTTACCACAGACCTTATTAGGCAAGTGCTATACACACAGCTTCTTCCCAGTGGGATGCAAGGCTGCCCATGGACATGAGATGCCCTTGATCCTGATTGTGGATGGTTTCTGTCAAAGCCCCTGCATTGGAGGGGCTACTAGAGAAAGGTCTCCTCACCATCACCACAGCAGCCCATTGCTAGGGCAGACCTTGAGTCTCTAGGAGGAGGGTTTATGATGCGTGTGTGAGAGAGAGAGACTTCATCTACCCGAAAGAAAGGCCGATAGAAGGAACAGGATGGTGGCAGAGATGATCCCATCAGGTCTAGAGCAAAGGCAACGGTTTCATTTCATTAGTGTTTGCTCTTAGATGAACAGCAACTTTCAAGTTTTAACTTCTTTCCTATTGACATCAATTGCAAACTTGGACTGCAGAAATGGTTCTGCGGGTAAAGACTTGATGTGTGAGCAAGAAGAGCCAAGGCCAGATCTCCAGAACACACAGAAAGGCAGATGTAATTATGGTAGTGTGCACCCAAAATCCCAGCACTCCTGCGGCGAGATGGGAAGAGGAGACGGCGAACCCTTAGGAGCTTAAAGGCCAGCTGGTCTCACATATGTCATGGTCAACAAAGGGGGATCTTCCCTCAAACGAGGTGGAAGTTCAGAATGGTTGTCTTCCATATGCACACTATGGCATTCTCTCTCTCTCTCTCTCTCTCTCTCTCTCTCTCTCTCTCTCTCTCTCTCTCTCTCTCTCCACACTGTGGCATTCTCTTCTTCTTCTTCTTCTTCTTCTTCTTCTTCTTCTTCTTCTTCTTCTTCTTCTTCTTCTTCTTCTTCTCTCTCTCTCTCTCTCTCTCTCTCTCTGCACACTGTGACATTCTCTCCCTCTCTCCCTCTCTCTATGTACACTGTGACTTCTCTCTCTCCCCCTGCCCCTCTCACACACACACCACAAGATTTCTAAAAGCCATTAATATCTTGGAGCTGCTGTTATATCTATACTTATAAGTGCTTGGCTGCAGATCCCAGAAAAGAGCAGGTTGAACAAATTAGGATATTGTATTTGCTAAAAAGCAGTCCAGATGTGAGCAGCCTAACGTTGCTAGACAGTCTGCATGATGGACATTTAGATGCTGTCTGTATTTTGGGGTCAACCATCCTTAGCATGAAGCTTCTTCTGGGATATTCA